GAGATCTTCGACGACAGAACATCGAGAACGTCGAAATGATATATTTCACGTCTGATTTAGAAAAGAAATACCGAATTAGTATCGAATTAGTATTATGTCGTGCTGCTATTTTGCTCTGTCGATATTCATTCGCAAAGATTGAAGCAAAGATTGAAACGGACGGTCTAGATTCCGTTTACATCGAAATACTTTGAAAGGCTTTCCGAGTGAGATGCAATCGTGATGCGCTTGCGTCACTTGCGAAAACTCTAGTGATCCTCTATAAGGCAACGTATCCTGTTGCCTGGATGAAGAATAAGCGCGTCTCTAATCGAGTCTCCGTCCGTGTACAAACGAAGGAAGTTCGCGCGAGGAATCGGAAATTATCTCTTCCGCTTCGCTTCGACGACCTTCGCGGAACGCGAAGAGATTTTCATTTAAAACGATCGGCAGAGAGCGAAAATCGCTTCAAGCTCGCTCCTCCTTTTGCTCCTCCTCGGAAATCGCGCGAAAGATCAAAAGTACATCCGCCCGAGAACGAGAGATTCTTCCCGCCAGATCGAGACGAGATTTTATTTCAGAGGCATCGAGACTTTCCGTATGGCTCAATTGTACATTTGCGACGTTCGCCGTCGAGAAATCTTTTTTGCGCGATTCGCTCCGGAATCTCTTCGATAACGGAAGATGGATCTTCAATAACGAGGAAAATGATTCCTGGATGAAGACGGCGATTCTCAATGACGAAAGATTACCGAGGACGTTGCAACGGGGATGCCAGATACCTGGACTGGTCGGATAAGAGCTACCTCGTCCTGTCGAATCATTCAAGCAGATTACGTTCTAGCGAAGGGATACACCGCTGGGATACTCCCGCTAGATGAGATTCGATTATGGCACACTCACGTCTCACTCACGAAACATTCAATGATTTCATTCCCGGCGCATTGAGGCGCGCTTCCACGCGACAAGTACAACGTAATGAACGTGCACGCGTCTATTTTTGCGTCTTTCGCGAGGTCTCGTTAATCTCGAAACGTGGAATCGCGTGCACGCGTCGGAGACATCAACTGAACACGTTTGTTAGCACTTTGATGCGAGTTTTCTTTGATGCAGTTTACTACTAAGGGTACGACGACCGCGCAAAGCTGAACGTGTCTAACGTGGATACTCGAGATGACAATTGAATTGACGCGTGCCGCGCGGTTTCCCGGTTAATACGAATATCTTTGATACGCTGTTATCTTTATACAAATTTCGAATCAATTGCACACTATGTAAATCCATACCGTATCGTATTTTACCATCGACACATTATATTTTTTTTTAATCACTCGCGATACGATTCATTTTCTGACCGATCGATCGATCGATCGATCGACGATCTTCCGCGCGGAAATCTTTGGCTGCGCGCATGTCCGCGACGAGGTCACGGCGAAGTCACGGCGAAAATCGCGAGGGCGGGAGGGGGCGGAATCGATCGAGACGAAAGGGAAATGCGCGTTCGCCACACCCGGGGATGGATCCCGGATCCCGAAGGATCCGATCGAGATCGCCCGAGATCGGAGCACCGTCGAGGGAGTAGCGGGCTCACGAGCGCGCACGGAACACACGGATACGATAAAACCGAGCGCACACACGGCGCAGGTAAGAGCGAAGTTTTCGAACAACTACGTGCCGGTCGGAAGGCGGCGTTTCTTTCTCCCCTGCATCGTGCATCGGCTCGCCGCAGAGAGAGGGAAATGGCGAAACCGTGGTAGGAGGTGGAGAGGTGCTGCTGCGAAATACGCGGGGGAAGGGATACCAGCGAGGATCTATGATATTCCCGCGGATCGAGATCGGCGGTGGCTGGCGGTGGCTGGCGGTGGCTATGGCATGAGAAAGGCATCTCGAAACGACGAGAGAGAGAGAGAGAGCACCCTCGGTGGACGTCGTTTTTTTTTAAGTAAAAGAAATACACAAGCGCATGTTATATTAATCATAAAATATGTATTTGCTATAATTGGAAAGATCTCATGATATCATATATCAATGATGTATATAAAATTATACATTATTTGTAAACAGAAATTTTTTTATACAATTTCTGTTAATTGCACATTATAACGCGTGTGCATTTAATTCTTTTAATTCTTAATTTTTCGTGAATAAATTGAATAAAGCAGCGCAATTTATAAGCAATCGCAGTATTTTTTAATTCGAATAAAAAGAGCTACTTAATTATTGCAATTTCAATTTTACATTTTGGAAAAAGAGAAACGTTCTACGGGCAAACGTAAAGTCGCAATTTTACGCGTAAGTGAGTCGACTAACCCCCGACTGTCAGTTGGTTCCTGTCTAAAGCAACAGGTGCTCGTCAACCGCGGCCATGTGGTGGCCGCACGAACCTAAGGCGGCATGCATTTCTTGCGTTTCGAGCCACGAAATGGAATATTTTTCTACGTCGCGAAGACACGTCGATGATAATTTATATTTTAAATTTTCTCCTCAACGAGAGAAACAATCCCATATAGCCCATTCTGGCGTAAAGAGGTGATAAATAAATATCCCATCGATTCCTTACCAATCCTTTAATTGTTCATATATTGTTTTACTTGGGAGGGATTTACAGGTGTTACATTAATGGGACTATAACATTTATGCGCGTAAGTCTACAAATGGTAATCTTAAATATGCATTCGATATTTTACCACCTATATAGTGATCGGTAGACTCTCCCTCTCCCTCTCTCTACACGATACAGTAGATAGATATACAAAACATCGTGTCGTACAAAATAGTAGCAGTAATATCACCTATCAATTTCGTTCCAACAGACGATCCGCTACGCACGGTACCGATTGCAATCAGCATTCGTCACGAAATACCTGCGCCCTACTCTTTAACTCGCACAAGAATTCTAAAAAGAAACACAATCTTCGCGATACTAGAGAAAACAATCAACTTCCACTGGAAGTCCTTTGTATTACGAAAAGTGCCTGACTCTTCGCTTCCTCTATAACGGATACACATTAAAAAGTAATTAAAAAATTCGATGTATTTATCGCTACCGATAAAATATACCGTATGTAGCGGTAATTTGTTAAGAAAAATGAAAAATGTTGGACTCAAAGATATTCGATTTTATGTACAAAATCGTAGCAAATAGGGCATAATAATAGGAACGCCGTCTCTTTATTATAAAAAAAATCAAGATTAAGGAAAGATATATTTATTTTAAAAATATTTTCACATAAGTTCTAGAAAAAGGCATTTAAAGAACGTCTGAAAGAACGACTTGAAGATAAAATTAGTGCGCCGCAATAGAGACGCAATAACTTCTTTTCGCAACATCTTTTACACATTGTGTTATATTTCCGCGTTGTATCGGCAAAGATAACTTATATTTTAAAATACAGATGTTCCGTTCTCTGCCATACATCTCCTTTCTCGCACTTCAGGCTAAATAATTTATACGTATGTTGGCGTTCAGATATACCTTGCAGAAACCTTTTGCTAAAGTATTAGTTTTTATAATATTATAAATCATAAATAAATAAACGTAAAAAATAGGTCTTTGTGCGGAAAAGGATCAACAAATGAACAAAACTAAAAGGATGGGAGACATTGTACTATGATTCAAGTTTTATTAAACAAATTAAATACAAAAGATTCTCTGTTGCTTGTTGTCCGCGTTATATAGAAATATATCTCGAGGTTATAAATAATTAAAACAACAGAACATAGGCATAGTATAAATAAAATAAAGAGAACGGAAGAAAATGCAGCCCGTCTTAACTTCTGTCTTCCGAACAGTAAACATCCTCGCGTGCTCGCATTGTACTGTTTTTCTATTGAATTTCTCTAAAAGAAAAGAGCAAAGGTTAATACGTCCAGGTTCCTTTAATTCAAGATTAAATGTCGCTATCAAAAAATTACTTGTTGACTTTAGTGGAATAACATGAAGTTTGAGTTTCCATCGAGAATTTCAAATTATCTCACTATATGAAAATTTATAAATAATATACATTTTATGACATATTGTATAAAAATTTTTTATCTTAATGACTTTTCTATCTAGAAAAATTGTTAAAAACATTTCAATTATAATTATAATAACAACAAAGCAGGATGTACTTATAATTCTCGATAAAAATTCATCAATTTTTTTCGACATTTTCGATTTTATAAATGCATGTGGAATGATACAGAACCTGGCACGCCTAAAATGCAGAAAATGTCGGGGGAAAAAAAAATAAAAGATAAAAATGAATTTGTTGCGTCTAGATCTAAAGAAAAAAAAAAAGTATTTAATTTTGGACGCTGAATTACGAAAAATCTTAATTACCGGTACGTTTAAAAATTTTTTTCGAGAATGTTGGATATTAATATTTAAAAGTCGTTAGGATATGTACAAAGAGATATAATATATGAATATGAAATATGTTTGTGTACGTGTGTGTATATGTGTATGTGTGTATACGTATGTGTAAATATAGCGAATTCCTGTTTTAAAAAATTAAAGCTGGCTCATATGTTCTCTTTCGATCCTTCAGAATTATGGGGCATTACGTTGAAAAGTAACACAGTCTTTATGGATTTCGAAATTAATTTTTTAATAAAAGAAAATAATTAAGAAAAGAACAAGTAAATAAGTAATGACAATGTTTAACGGCAATTCATTAAACGAAGGCTTGTTACTTTTTTCTCTTTTTTGTAAGATAATCGAAAGAGGAAATCATACATTAACAAATATAAATACAAGACGAAGTTTGGAATGTAATTGATGATAGAGATCCAAAAAGTACTGTGTTGACTCTTTCTTTCAAAAGAGAAATTCTTTTTTCCCCTTTTTCATATATACATTCATACTCTCTTTCATATTCTCTTTCATTTCCTCCACTTCCTCACTTTTTCGCGCGTTCTTTCGATTTCTGTGGCAATCGCAAAAACGGTGCCTGACTAATTAGGCCCTCTTTGCTTACGCGTCATACATATCACATTACAGCTCCTTTATAACATTTATAAATGAATTCAAGTCTAAGAGACAAGAGCATATATCTGTGTGTGTGTGTGTGTGTGTGCGTGTGTGTGTGTGCGTGTGCGTGCGAATACACATACGTTCTGTATGTGGATATATATATATATAATATACATGGACAAATCTACAATAATAAAGCCAACCATTTCTCTCGTACCGACATGTAAAGTAGCGAAAAAATTTATTTTTTTTTTTTTTCATTTTCTATCCTCGAATTCTACAAGATACGATCCGCAAAGATTTCTTTGTATTGTTGCAGATCATATATATAAAATTAAACACATAACCTTGATATTCATAAAATAATATAAATCTGACGATAATATCAATGGTAATATCAAAATATCCAATTAAAAAATTGAAATTTGAAATTGAAACAATAACTTACTTACAAATTAAAATTTGTTGTATTCAATAAAAATATAGTTTTATAAGCAAAATGTAGTCTTATAATGTGTAAACGAGCACGCTTAAAAAAATTGCGTTGTTGTAAAAAACAATTATTTCGATTGTAACCAATTTTTTAGCGTAGTTTTCGAGATATTCTTTCTTCTTTGTACTTGATTATGTCGTTATTAAAATTTAGCGAAAGCATAAAAGTACATTAATTTTTTTTGTAAAACTTTAATCGTCTGTACAAGAGCCAGATTGGCAATAGAAATTTTTTAAAAACGGAAGGCGCTTAAAATGGAATAAACCGTTTCGAATAACGCAAACAAAATCTAAAACAATTAAGAGACGTTTCTATTTTCTTACTGATAATCTTTTCAATTCTTAAATATGTAATGCTGGTGGAACGCCATTGTGTTAGACACAAGAACCAACCGCACTAAACTACACAATGAATCTTTGTCTCATCTCTCGTAGTCCCTTTGCTCTTCCTCTCTAAATACTATATAACACTACGCTATTTACACCAACTTACGCTACTATGAGACACTAAAGATTAACCTATCAAATATATATTACAGGACACGCCATCGTATTCGTACTTTCTCTGGCGACACGCAGTATATATAACATCTTTGGACTTGGTTTTACACATTGGTATTACACATTTATATAGAATATTACGATCGGTTTCTCTCCTTCTCTCATTTAATTCGGTTCTCACCATCTCGTGAAAGAGTGTGCTTACCTAAGAAACGTTCCTTCAGTCTAATAAAAGAAAAGTACTCTCCTACCGTCTTCTCCCGCTTACCAGCATTTGCCAGTTATTTGTCGCTTTCCACAGTACGTTGTACTGCGGAATATACTGGAAATACTTTAACGCTTGAGATTCTCAGTGATTCCTTCAGGTTCATCTCGGAGACCCTTGGAAGACAAGCGTTCTGCTTAAATAAGAATAATGCCTTTTTTCGCAGTAAACTAAGTGGATTCCGCCTACGCGAAAAATTGATCCACGATTCAATAAAATGTCTTGTATTAACGGATCATCGAATCAGGATGCTATCATTACCAATGCAAAACGATATTTGTCGTTATTTAGGAAGAAAGTTTGCGAGTGTCGATAATCTTTTCTGCATTCTTTTACTTAATGGTTCGCAAATGATATTATCCGAAAACGATTTCTCCTTTGACCGCGTAAAAAAGTAGTGTGACGAAATTAACTAAATGGTAATTGAAACTTGATGAAACTCGTGGACCATTTAAACCGCCGACACTTGGGCATCTTCATCATCTGCAACATTAAAATGCATTTTAGTAATGACACGTTAACGTGTCAAATATCATGATCAAAATACGAGGGACTCTAATCTGAATAGATATGATTTAATGTGTTCTAATTTAAATATCAGCTTAAAAACAATCGATATAATCTCAATACAATGTAGGATGATCGATAATAGGATATGTTACTAAAAATTAAGAACTATTGCGAGAAGTTTCATGCTGTATGATATATATATAAAGCAATATATAGAATTTATATTTATTTTTTCTATATCTTCATGTTAGAGTCTCTCGCTAATGCGATATCTATAAATATAAAATATTGCATCTTTTGTTTTAAATTTAATCATTTTAAAACAAGCTAATTAAAAAAGTAAACAATGCAAATAAAAATAAACAAAGGATAAGACGTGCGACATGGACAAGCAACAAATCATGCTTCGGCATCACGCATGAAATAAACATAAATCGCATAAATTAATATATTGTAATGTTTCAATGTATAATTCAATGATGACGAATAAGCTGGTGTATTATGCAGTGATCACTAACATAAATATTGACATAATGCAAACAAATATTATGATTATGCGTCATGAAATTATGTGACTATGCTGAATGTGCTACATAACAGTCACATTAAATACAAGCTTTCGACATGTTGTACAGACATTTCCTTCATTATACAAATATACTATTTATTTACATTATATACTAATAACTATATAACATCCATTGATCGATGCTATAATATTATTACTGTATTTATGATTGTGTTCAAGATTGCGTTCAAGATGGTGTTCATATAATTGTGCTTCTGTTATGTTCAAAAATCTCAATTATATTATGCATCAAGTCGCCGTTTATAAAAGTAGAAAAGATCATTTTAGAAAAAGTGACTTGCAACATTTCTAAACCTGCATCAGCAAATATCAGTACCAGAAAAAGAAGACGTTAATCTTAAAAAATATTCGTTTAAATAAATACACAAAAATTAGAAATATATATCAAGAGAAGAATTACTTTCGATAGTATGCATGACAAAAAATGTCGAATAAGAGAAATGGGAAAAAAAAAATACGTTGCAAATCAATTATGGTCGTAAGAGTACAGTTTTATGAAGGCCACTCCGACAGTAGCGAGTTGACGGAATGCTTTCGCCAACAAATCAGCACTCCTCGCTGTGCGTGAATATTAACAACGAGAACGTAAGAAGCCTCAACGAGCGTAAATCGAGTAGATGTGTACATGAGGGTGAGTATGTGAACCGTGTGTGAACGGTAGAGCGATTTGGTTAGATGTAGTACCATCTTCGTGATCGGTGCCCCGATAGGTGACTCCTTCGTGGCTGTTAGCACGACCGAGTCTGTGTAATCTCGCCATCTGCTGTGCGACTTTGTACGCCGGTGGTTGACGGCACTGTGGCGTGCTACTCATGCCCGATCGCATCGTTGTGATCGACGACGTTATGTTGCCCGGCATGACACCCATCGTCGTCATTATGGTTGTGGTCCCCGCTCCGGGTGGTGGCAACGGAGCTGGCATCCCTAGGCCCACGTTTACTCCTAAGCCCGTAGTACCTGAAAACCCTCGACTCTCTCGATCTCTCTTTCTCTCTTTTTCCCTCCATTTCGCATCTTTTCTCGCTTCCACAACATCCTCCATCTCGTCGACCAAGCAATTCACCTGCCACCACGGATGTAGCGCTTATAAACGAGCATTTGTAAGACTATCGGGAGCATCAAACTTGTATCTACTTATATTAATTACAACATATTATAATTAACGTCAAAAGTTGGAATATCTTATACATAAATTAGTAAAAGTACATTTCATTCCTAGAAAAAAAAAAAAAAAAAAAAGTTACTTATTTTTTTTAGCATTCCATATTCATTTTATTCTCTATGAATTTATAGTTTATGCAGTATTGCAACATTTATCAGCGTTGTCTTTCCTACCAACATTCGATGAAACCCAACTTTAACGATTAAAACTTCTCTTTTATTTTAACAATCTCTTGAAACAGCATAAAAAAAGTTACGATATTCTATTAATCACTTTGAAAGAGAGATTAAAGATAATCATGCTCATTTATAGCCGAGATCCGCGAGAGACAAACGAAACCGCAAAAAACATTCGTCGCTACACTACCTGCCCACCAAGAGGAAAGAAGCACAGATATATATATACCGTTTTTATATAGTTAGTATCCTGTAAAAAAAAACGTTGAGTTACTACAGTACTACGCTGCTACAG